CTACTGCGGGCGGGCGGGCGGGTTGCCGCCGCCTCTCCGGCCCCGGAGGGAGCTCTGTGGGGCCTGGACCATCGTACCCAGATACCTAAACTGATTAAACGGGTCTTTTGGCCTGGTTTTTCTGGCAGCGCGTGATACGCTGTAACTAACTTTATATCAGTTTGTCATTTTCATCACTGAAGATGTTTAAAAATACTTGCCACCAAATGAAACAAATACCTTTCCTCTTTTTTCCCCCTAGCCTTTGATTTAATGGGAGGCTAATGGATGGCTGTGGGAGTCTGGGGGGGCCGCCTGCCTGCCCGCATTCGTGTTTCCAGGTTCACAATACTCCGTATTGAATGTCAGTGCAGTAAAATGGTTCCCCGGGGGCCGAAGCGGAGTTGCGAGCCGGCCCCCACAGCAGGAGAGCCGTGCCGGGCCAAGTCCGTCAGTAGCACCAGGCCGCAGCCGGCATCAGGTGGCCCGCCATTGCGGAGGGCCTGGCCGCACAACTGTGGTGCATAAACCCCGTGTGGCCGAGGCACCCGCGACGCTGTCCCCGAAGGGTCTACGCGAGGTGTCCTCCCACGGCACCCAACGGTTCCCGTGCCCTTCTTGCCAACATGGTGGAAGGTGACAGCGATTCTCGGCCTCTCTGTTTTACCACAACATGGGACTTGATGCAGTTGATTAATTTTTTTACCGATTCCTGAGGCACAACTGTTGTCTTTGCCAATTTTACAACTGAATTTAATTTCTCCAGAATATACAATTTCCCTGTTTTCTCTAATGCTTTGTTAGCCTGCTACCCTACCAAAGTCAGTGAAATGAAAGCACCTCGAAACCCCGTTCTTGCTCTCCCCTTCCTCCATTATTTTCAAGAGCTTGAGGATCTTCCTTATCTCTTGAGTACTTCCTTATCTCTTCCTATTCTCTATGAAACTGGGCTGAATCTGTTAACTATCTTCATCATGATATTCTACAGTCCTGATACTAAACTGTAATTTATTTTATTATTTTTTCGTTCAGCAAAATTGCCTGTCCTCAAGATTGGCACAAGTACCGTTTTTCATCAGTCACCTACTGTTGTCCCCTGTTCACGTTAGCAACAGCAATATCATCTGAATCTTATGCAATTCCAGTACCCAAAACTGAGGATCACAATATCATGAAGTTTCATGATGCTGTTAAACTGGTTTGAAAGTGAAATATTCAGCACAGTATTCAAACACCGAGGAACTTCCTTTTAATTCCATGATCCCATAAACTCTGCACCGTTCTACAGTTGTATAATTTTGTCATTTTACCAAGATAACTGCAGGATTTGCCATTTTTGCCACTGTGTTGACCGTTTTGCTGCAGTTTAGGTTATGTTCTGTTTTGCGTCCCTGCCTCAAAACGCCACTTATTTGCTAATTTTCCCCAAGCAGAAAAGTTGGTTGATGATCTTGCAACAAATTCAGAGTCTAAAGGGATGGAAAATCAAAGTTGACATGCAGTTTATATGCACAAAGTGAGGAAAATCAGTAGCTTAGGCTGGCATGCTGTTTTTAAGAACAGTAAAGCGATCATGGACCAGGACACATACTAGTCTCATGTTCACCTAAAACATTGCCGAGTAACCTGACTGCAGTCTTAACAAACACTGCCACTGGAAGCCGGCCTAAAACTGCAGCCTACCCCTGTAGTAGCAGATTAAACATGGTGCTGAGTTCAACTGACATTGGATAACCCACTCCAACTACCTTTCAAAACAAGGTGGCCACATCCAAATTGCCTATGGGGAATAGTCCTATGTTCATGCTAGTTCTCAAACCATGAAGTGTGCTCTTTGGTCTGGGCCAAACCTCTGCCAAGGGACCATTTGTACAGTTTAACAGGACAGAAAATCAAGTTTCACTCTCCAGGGCTGCTCTGTAGTTTGCCAGGATAAAAACATTCTATCACTATCTTTTTATATATTTATATTTTAAAGAATTTATTTAACCCAAAGCAACTTTATATCTTTATATACATATAAAGCAACTTTAACCCAAAGCAACTTTTTTTTGAATAGCAAGTGCTCATCCCTGCAGTTTTCTTCCCTTCTCCACCTGGCTGCTACACGAGTTGCTCAGGAGTAGGAGTGAATCCACCAAAATGCACCTAGTAGTTGCAAGAAGGCAGAGTTTTGCCTTTGGCTGACCAGTGTGTTAATATCCAAGAGATCTTACTGAGACTGGCAGCGCACCGTCCAGGGCAGGTCAAGGAGTAAGGTAAGAGCTCGCACATTTGCTTTGAGTGCTGTACCCGGCCTGGACCGGAGGGGGAGAAGTGCGACAATGCTGAGGAGCACTCCGCAGAACCAGCCATGTTTTTCATTTTAATTTCATTTCAATTAATGTTTTAGGGTTTGGCACATCAGCGTTACCACACTTTTGGAAACCATGGTATGCAGTTTGCTGTCCATCACCATCTCTTCTATTGAACTGTGTCCTGCTGATTTTTTACAGGTCAGCAGTTATGTCTACATCTGCATTGTTTTTTCCCCCCTACTAGTTTCTTTTCCTCTAATGCTGAGTAGTGATCCCCGAATTGTCTGAAATTAGGTGAAGACCTAACCTATTTCTTTTTTTTTTTATTTCAATTAACCATTAACACTAACATTATTGCAAAAAGTCATATCGTTACTTCAGCAGAAATTAAGAAGCAAAACTAACATCTATATTACTAGACTCGGATAAATCTTACAATGCAAAACCTTACGAGGGGTTTGTCAGCCCTTTCACACAAAAATCCTTTTCTTGGGAAAAGAAAACAGACAAAGAATTGAAAAGATATCATCTTGGTGGAAAACTCCCGAAACCACAATTCAAACAATTTCATAACCCAAACTTTCTTACTAATGTATTTATTGAAACCTATAGACAGTTTCAATAGTATTTTGCTTACTTTTTTCCCATGTATATTTTCTTCACTTCCACAGTAACATTACCAGTAGGGACTGATTTTTTAAGTAATTTTTTAACAGAATCATTGATGTTGCAACAACCCACCTCACAAATGTTTTGCATCAACATCCATATGGTCAGCTGTCAAACTGTCCCCATCATTCCATCCAAACACAGTCCAATCCATCATACTCCAACCTGTTCTGCTACCTAATTAACAAAAACCAAATTCCTTATTTGCATTAAATATATCATTGCACAGTTTCTACTCCCACTTTTGTTATACTAACTAGCAGAGTGCCCGATGCTAATCCGTCGCAGCCCAGTTCTTCTCTGCTTGCATGACTACCAGTGCTAACAGGAGGGTAAACATGGTGATGCCAATATCTTGTCTCTCTTTCAAGCCGCCCTGTTCATCCATCATGTCTGGGATGTTTGGATCTCTATGGATGGCAGGGATTAGCACAAAATGTCCCTTCTCTGCTTCCAGCTCCCTTTCAGCTCTTATTGTTAATTTACCCACAATCTTATTTACTACATGCATCATCAGTCTGATTGAATTCTTGTGTAACTCAGTCTTTATAGATATTGTCTTTGTAACTTGCTTTCTTGATGTTTTCACCTCTTAAAATATTATTCTTGAAATTTTTTTTTAACTTTTGTTTATTCAAAATACTTATTTATAGATTTTTCGATCATTTAACTCAATTTCTTTACTGATCTGGCTTTTTCAGAAGTCTTGACAGGTTTACATTTTTCTTGTAGTGTATTTGTGTCATTGCTAGCCCAACTTCTCTTTGTATGTCTGTTTTGCAGTTCTCTTTTATTATATTTTATATAATAAAATACCATGCTTTTTATTACTTCTTTAAATATTTGCCATCCAGGTTATACCGAGATTTTTTTTCTGACCATGATGCACAGATACCTCTGTACTTACTATAAATAGCAGGGTAAATGTTCTGAGCTGTCCTTTAAATTACTGCAGGCTCCAAAGTGAGTAAAGCATGAATCATGCACTGAAAAGAGGTTCAGGGGGTTATTTTAGTCAAATATGCTCTCAGTCTCTCAGTGTTAATTTATTTAAGTGGGAAGTGACGATGGTCACATCCCTTATGACACTCTAAGCCTCTCAGGCTCCACTCATACAGGGCTTTCAGATCCTGGATTTATTCCCCAAGTCCCCTGTCCAAAACTCTAGTACACAGGCGGGGGAAATCTAGATACATCTTCACAATCTTCTTAAATTTATCCTGACAGGTAGGTCTATCATACACCTCTGCCTCTCACTGCATGCATCTTCTTCAGTATGTTTAGGCTGCTGTAGCAAATATGCTCACTGCATCCTTGTTCTGTTATATATCATATTTTCGATCCCTTAGCATCATTTTTCAGGCTACATATTTCAGGCTACATATCAAGGAAGGATCTGCCCTGTCCTTGTGCTAGGCTTCTCCAAAAGGATGCCACTCTCGTACTCCATTACAAGATGTTCCATGTGCTTTAAATAATTTTGCCTGCCGTGCTGGGGCTTGGGGACTTTTTTGACTTGTTTAATTTTCTCTTGTTAATCTTCCTCTGATTACTTTTGAGCATTTGATCAATGTTAGAGAGAGGGGTTGAAGCATCAAAGATGAGAAGTACTCGCAAATTTGAGAAATTAAAGCGTGGGTAAAGGAGAGAGATTCAAATTTCTACCATGGGAAACAAAAGTGGAACTCAGCCTCTTTTGTGCATGGAGCGGCAGCAACCAGCCAGTTAACACAAACATCCTGGCTGATCAGCGTAAATACAGCTTGAGCTCAGCCACTGCACCATCATCTCCAAACAGATAGGGGAAGATTCAAACTATCGAGCATCAGAACTAAGAAAGTAGTATTCGTTTGTAGAGTTCATGTATTCTGCTGCACAAGGATCTCCTTCTTCTTTTTCCTAGTCTAATATCTATCTTTACCATATTTAAATTGTGAGCTTCTGAAACACACAAAGAAGTTTTTCAGTCTGTGTATCTGTATAGATACTGATGGTTTCTTTTCTTGGAAATTATTACCACTTAACTAATTTACAAGAAGAAAATACATTTGTTATTTATAACATTTAAGATCTGCTGCATTTCTAATACTCTTTTGAGATTAATCAAATTTCTACCTGTATAGCAGTAAAGAATAGAATCCTTTCTTATCGGGTAATCTGTAGGTAATTGAAAGATTTCTTTAACCTCAAAAGTATTCCTATCCAACATAAAAACTAGTCATAGCTATGTATCTAGGATTTTTATCTTTTTTTTTAATCATATGAAGAATTAATTGTCAGGATTCAGAATAATGCAAAAAAGGTTTAAAATATTTTTTCATAAGGAGAATTTCTTATTGTCTGAAAATTCCAAAATACGATTCTGTCTCCATTCAAAGAAACCCACTGCAGTTTAAGGATTTTCTTCACCCTTTTTGGTGTTTATTTAGGGCTATTAAATAATACAGGCTTGGCCAGGCAGATTTCCCATTTTAAGCCTATGACATGATCGTGAAAAAATGTCCTGTTCAGTACTGACACACACTGAGTTTTCAAATACCCAGTCGCTGTGTAAAACAGTCTGCAAAATTCCAACCTAAACGTAAGTGGCCAGCTGCCTTCCAATTGCTAATAAATCTCTGTGTTAGACTTACCCAGAGCACTTTCACCATTACAAGTGAAATCCCCCCCGAAATAAACACTAAGGTGGGATCCGGTCTGCCTAATCTAGCCATAAACCTGCACCTACCTTTTAAGCTCTTCTTTTAAAGGGAATAGTTTCCCATGGAATACTTGGAAAGAGGTAGGTATCCTGCTGTCCTCCAAAAGGACATCCAGCCTGCCTAAATTGAGGTGACATCCAGCCTGCCTAAATTGAGGTGCCTGGGTACCTGATTTGTTTTCCATTTGTTTACCTCAAGTTTGTTTTGGGGTTGGGTTTTTTTGGTTTTCGGGGTTCGGGTTTTGTGGGGTTTTTATCAAAAGTAGGTGATGCACAGGAGTGAAAACTTAACCATTTTTGCAAGTTAGGGGAAAAGAGTCTCCCTTGTATGTAATACTAGGTCCTGTTCCCCATTATGAATTAATACCAGCATAAGGAGTTAGAGGTACCTCCTACATCCTTATGCAAGCAAAATTCCAAATTAATTGGAAGTTGCCTAAGCAAGACATACAAGATCAAGACGATTAACATACTAGCTAATTCTTGAGCCACTTTCTACTGGAAACTAAATATATTACTTTGTCTTAGTTCTTAGCATTTTGTCTTTATATTACTTTTGTCTTGTTCTAGCATTTTCTTTGGCTAAGGCTTTGTGGAAATCGCAGTAAAGAAGCAACACTGACTAGTTTATTAAAAAGTAACGGTGAAAAGTTCAAATAAAGGTTCCTTTCTGCATTAAGTCCTGTCTAAAAGTGCATTGGTTTTACTGGAAGCAGAATGTAGCCTCAGAATGTAAAACCCCAACCCCATCCTCCAGCACTGTGGACATCAGTTCCTACTGTAATGCTCCTTAAAATTCAGGGCTTGCTGACAAAACAGTTGATTTATTTTCAGACTACAGAGCTAGAATAACTGTTGGCATCAGTATCTTGGCAATTTTTCTTCAGATTATCTACATGAGTATGTAGAAATCTGATACACACATTATTGTTTGGAAAACTCCATGGTACCTTTGCATAACAAATTTCAGAAGGCAAGACTCATCCTAGTGAGTTTAAAATAACCGTTAAAATTGCCTACAGTATAGCCACATTAAGTAGAAGACATTACTATGTTTAGACTTTCAAGTAGGAAACCAAGTATATCAGTTACACAGCTATTATTCACATACTGCTTTCAAAACCACAAGGTTATTAGATATATTGAAGACCTAGCATTTTTATAACAAATCTGGTAACAGTTAAATGGCAAGGGTGGATCACAATGAATCTAAATGAATCCAGCTGGTATACCTTACTGACATAGTTTAGGTGGTATTGATGCATTGCAAAAAAAAGCAGCAGCATTTTTTTCTAGCATATAGTGTCCCAAACGCTTTCAAAAGTGACTGTGTTCTCTTTATACATATTTAGCTTTTATGGACCCATTGCTTACGTGGGTATCTGCATGGTATTACACACTTCAGTGCCTGCAGTTTTGCCTTCTCAATGAACTGTATACAGTTAAATATGGGTACAAATGATGCCAGATATGTAATTACTTATTGAGGTTGAGTACATGTGGAGCTGTGGAGTGCTTCGCTGATTTATGATGAATATGATGATCTCTGCATTAACTTGATACTCCATGCTAGTGCAAGAAAGTTATTCCAAGGTCTTCTAGTCCAGACTTTAGGCAAAAGTGGACTTTGAAAGTAGAACAAAGCAAAGATTGGTCAGGCAGGTACAACGGTTACAACAGCAGTCAAA